TAAGGAAAATGGAGAAGGCCTCACCCTGCTTTCAAGGAGTTCTGGTAGCACAGTGGGTAAAGCATTTGGCTGCTAACCAGAAGATCAGTGGTTTGAACCCATCTGCCACTTTGCAGGAGAAACATGAGGCATTCTGCTTCAGTAAAGATTTACAGCCTTGGCAACCCTGTGGAGCAGATCTCCTTAGTCCACAGGGTGTCTAGGAGTCGGAATTGACTCTACAGCAGTGAGTTTTTGATTTATACCTTGCTTCTACTTCCCTTGAGAAACAGATTATTGATGAGCATAAAACAATGGCACATGATGACTAATAGACAACTGTTGAATAATGAAGTGAGAATCCATGAAGTGATGCTTTGTTGTTGTTTTTGTCGTTGTTAGGTGCCCTCAAGTCAGTTCTGACTCATAGCGACCCTGCGTACACAGAATGAAACACTGCCTTTGTCCTGTGCCAACCTCACAGTTGTTGCTTTGCGTGAGCCCATTGTTTCAGGCACTATGTCATTCCATCTCCTTGAAGGTCTTTCTTTTTTTCACTGACCCTCTGTTTTTCCAAGCATGATATCCTTCTCTAGGGACTGATCCATCTGGATAACATGACCAAAATACGAGAGGCAAAGTCTCCCCATCCTTGCTTCTAAGGAGCATTCTGGCTATACTTACCCCAAGACAGACTTGTTCTTCTGGCAGTCCATGGTATATTCAATATGCTTCACCAACTCCGTAATGCATAGTAACTCAAATGCATGGTAAATTCTTCTTGGATCTTCCTGTTCATTGTCCAATTTTCCCATGCTTGTGAGACTATTAAAAAATACATGGCTTGGGTCAGGCACACCTTAGTCTTCAAAGTGACATCTTTGCACTTAACACTTTAAAAAAATCTTTTGCAGCAGCTTTGTCCAGTTAACCCATTGCTTCATTTCTTAACTGCTGCTTCCCTGGGCATTGATTGTGGAGCCAACTAAAATGAAATCCTTGAGAAGTTCAATCATTTCTACATTTATTGATGTTACTTATTGATTCAATTTTGAGGATTATTGTTTTCTTTATGTTGTGATGTAATCCATACTTAAGGTTGTAGTCTGATCTTCATCAGTAAGTGCTTCAATCTTTCTGACTTTCACAGCAACCAAGGTTGGATCATCTGCATATCACAGGTTGTTAATGAGTCTTCCTTCCATCTTGATGCCATGTTCTTCTTCCCATATTCCGGCTCCTTGGATTATTTTCTCAGTGTACAGATTGAATAACTATGGTGAAAGATATAAAGCTCACACACACCTTTCCTGATTTTAAACTATGCATTATTCCCCTAGTTCTGTAATTCCTTTTCTTCACAATATTACCATAATTTGTTGTTATCCACACAGTCAAATGCCTTCACATAGTCAGTAAAACACATGTAAACATAGTTCTGGTATTCTTTGTTTTCAGCCAAGATCCCTGACTTCAGCAATGATATCCCATGTCCTCTTCTGAATCCAGCTTGAATTTCTGGCAGTTCCCTGTTCATGTACTGCTGCAACTGTTCTTGAATTATTTTCAGCAAAATTTTACTTGCATGTGATATTAAAGATATTGTTCGATAATTTCCACATTCTGTTGGATCACCTTTCTTTGGGATAGGCACAAATATGGATCTCTTCCAGGCAAGTGTCCAAGTACCTGTCTTCCAAATTTCTTGATGGACAACATCTGGTGCTGTATCCATTTGTTGAAACAGCTCTGTTGGTATTCCATCTATTTCTGGAACCTTATTTTTCATCAATGCCTTTAGTATAACTTGGACTTCCTTCAGTACTGTTGGTTCTTGATCATATACTACCTCCTGAAATGGTTGAACATCAACCAATTTTATATATATATATATATAACAGTGACTCTATGTATGTTTCCCATATTCCTTTGATGTTCCTGCATCATTTAGTATTTTGCCCACGGATTCCTTCAGTATTGCAGTTCAAATCCTGAATTGTTTCTTCAGTGATGCTTAAGGATTAAGAATGTTGCATCTACATTCATGAGGAATATTGGTCAAGAGTTTTTTTTGTTTTTGTTTTGTTTTTTTAGTAATGCCTTTGGTTGAGAGCTCTGGTGGTGTAGTGCCTAAGGCATTTGACTGCTCACCAGAACACTGGTGGTTCAAACCCCACCAGCCACTCCTCAGAAGGAAGACTGGGCAATCTACTTCCATAGAAATACCATTTTGGAAGCCTAAGAAGGGGTCTCTAGGAGTCAAAATTGACTCAATGGCAATGAGTTTGGTTTTTTTTTTTTTTTTTTTTTTGGTTTGCTTGGTATTGGTATTTGGGTCATAATAGCCTCAAAGAGTGAGTTGGGAAGTTTTCTGCACTCTGAATTTTTGGGGAAGAGACTTTATAGAATTGATATTATTTCTTTTGGGCCTGAAATTTTCTTTGTGGGAAGATGTTCAACTATAAATTCATTAAGAAAAAAGAAAAGGGCATAGCTGCAGGGCTATTTAGATAATTTCTTCCTGCACAAGCTTTGGTAATTTGTCAAAAATTTGTCCATTTAATCAGAACTATGTTAATCTGGGATTATTTATTCTCCACTACTAAGATAAGATCTTACTTCATACTCTAACCCATGCCACTACTTAGGAAATTTTCCACTCTGGCTTTATGAATAGGCCCGGAGTGAACTTGAAACACTTGTTCTCCCTCCACATTTGGGTAGTTCTTATCCCGGTCTTGGATAGTCTCCTCATACTTAACTGATACATGTGAGGATCCTCTTCAGATCTCAGAATTCTTTCTCTACAGCTCTCTCCTGTCCAGTACTCTGCTCTGCAACCCTTACCACTTTGGCTTCTGTGATCTCCTAGCGCCATGTCCTTAAACTAGGGATATTGCCAGAATTGCCTGTGCTTACCACAATCGGGAAACTCTCCAGGGAGTAATCTGGGGAAATCATAGTGTTTACCTCATTTGTCTCCCATGTCTCAGGAGTCATTGTCCTTCGTTGCCTGATGTCTAATGTCTTTAATGCTACTGTTTGATATATTTTGTCAATGTTTTAATTGTTTTAAGGGGAGGTGTAAATCTATTCCCTTTTTCACCATTTTACCAGATACAAAAGTCCAGTTCTTGAGTATTGAATGTATTATTTGCTGTTATGCTCAAAGAGCTTTATTATATATTATACATCTTTAAACTCATGAGTTTAGTTTCTCCTTTGAGAGACATGGAAATGACAACCCAGTTAAAAGAACTGAAAGTATTGAAAATGAGAAGCAGATGAAATATTATTTACAGAAGGTCTAATAAACATATCTTTCTTCATAGCTGTCTTTAAAATACTCAATAATAAAAATGAGAGATACCCCAAGTAGGCTGGGGAAAATTCTTTACCAGTAAAATATTTAACTTGCTCTGAATCTCTGCTAATTTGTGGGTCAAAAAGGTGGCTGATCCTTGTCTCTTATTTCTTCTCCTCAGTGCCAGATGAAAGCAAAGTCCACTCATTGGCTGCACACAAATCGGGTAAGAAATTCCTTGTAACTTACTTTATATACCCCTTCCTGGAAATCATTGGCTGTATTTGAGTAGCAGTTGGAACCCATTTCCATCCACTAGTGACTGAAAGGCTTGCTAATTAATACATGAGATGTCTCTGATTTCCACAAAGATGAATTATTGCTTGGCTGTGTATATAGTGGCATAATGTATGCTGACTCAAAATGTTTGAGAGGAAAGAATAAAGGGTTCCAGAAAAATAATTATATAACCAAAATTGTTAAACCTGTATGCCAGCTGAACACTTAGGACAAGAAAAATCATAAAGAAAACCCAAGAAAGTTTTAATTGCATTCCCATGATGCTTTCAACATTAGAGCAAGCAGAGTAAACATTTCCAGAATAAGAAAGCTGTGTTCATTCCTTTTTCCTCAAAAAAAGAACAGAATCGTTTGCCTGTCATCAAAGGAGATTGTGCAGAACTGACTGGATTATATTTTTTATGATTCATGAATGAGTTCCCAGAGGTTCTTGAGAAAGTCCACAAGATCACTACAGGTTTGCTGGGTCTTTCTCTAACACGTTTAAGGTACCTTCAACCAGAAGGTCCAACATTTTCTTTTGTTGCCAAGTAATCTACTATATATCTATTCCTTTGTGTTTCCTTCATCAACATTATTTTCACATTAGTTGAAAACAAGTTAAACTATTAAATACCTCAGTAATACATTTCCTCTAGGAGTGCATTATTTTTTTTTGGGGGGGGGCGGAATATCCGTTTTACTCTTAAAATTGCCGTTCCAAATAACAGAAGAATTGTGATTTGTTGGTGTCTTTCCGTTTCTGAAACAAAGAAGTCTCTCCCATCACCAAGAATCTCCTGTGTTATGTGCCAATTATGTTTTCAGCAGTAAGTGGCCTCGATGCTTCATTACCTCCATCATGTTCCAGGGCAAGATTATGATATCTTTCCTATTCTTTCTCCAGATTCTCTAGTGATAACAGCAGGGAAGGGCTGGTTCACAACTTTTAGATTCCCCCCCCCCCCATTCTTCCTCCTAATAAAGACCTCTAGAGGTTGGATCACTGGGAAATAAAAGATTTCTGTGGGAGTGATAAATTGCTGCATGCTGTTTGTTCTCATCAACGTCTTCCATTAAACTCTTTACTGCTTGACATAGTTTTAGGAGCCTGAAGGAAATTCTCATGATCAAGGAAGCCCAAGGATAGCCTATAGTATTTTCATCTTAAATGTGTGGTACTGCTTGTAGTTTCTCACACATGTTAATACCTGAAGGTGAATCCCCTTTTATGTACTGGGGTAAAAGAGTTGAACTTTTAACTTCTAGGGAAAAAGTTAAAGTGGTTTTTAAAATTGCTTATCAATTTAGTTTTTGAAAATGAGCAAAAAAAAAAAAAACTTTTTGGCGTCTTCCAGGAAAGCATATCTTATTCTTATCTTAATCAGCTTTTAAGCAAATTATTTGCTAGCTAGTGACTAAAAGTTACTTTTACTCTTTTTAAATGATAACACTATCATTTTTGAAGATTGCTATATAATATTTTAAGTTATATTGAATGATGTTTTTATAGTGTGCTATTAGAAAAGAATTACTTTAAGCACAAAACTTAAAATAATCTTCCAAATTTAAAAAAAAAATAAACTAATTAAGCATTTGATTTTAGAGCTGGCAGATTAAATGTGTACTGCACATGGAGGCTGGACTTTAGCTGGTAGATAGGAAAAGTGCCACCAGTCTATGTCATGTGAGCCACCCCTTTGAAAGCAGTAGATGTTTTAAAGGAGCTTCTGGTTAGTAATGTGCTGCTATTTCAACACTCTCTTCTTTATATTTTTTAACTTGATAACTTTGGAGTAAAAGTGACATGCAATAATACCCAATCACCTAAAATTATACATACTATAAGTAATTCAGATGAGAGCATCCTGTGAAATACTAGAGACAGTTTGGACAGAATAGGAGACAACATTAAAGAAAAATATGCTACAATGGTTATAATTTATACACTCCAATAATGTACCCTCACCCCCTTTTTAATATTTATTTCTTTTGGAAAATCTTGAATTACAATGGTCCTCAGGAATTCATCACTCTTATAAAATGTAACTCCTTTATAAGTGTTGGGTTTTCGTAGAGAGATTTCTTTTAGGGCTTTGTTGGTGATGGTAGTGGTGGCAGTGGTGGTGGTAGCAGAAGATCAAGGGTCCTTTAGCTTCTGGGAGCATCTTATAGTTGCAGGTTTTTTTGTTTTTTTTTTAATTTCCTAGTATGTAACTGTACTACCAGTCTGACAGGAGCTCTGGTAGCGTAGTGCCTGAGGCACTTGACTGCTAACCAGAAGGCTGGCGGTTCAAACCCACCAGCCACTCCTCAGAAGGAAGGTTGAGCAATCTACTTCCATAGTGATACCAACTCAGATACCCAAGGAGGGGTTGCTATGAGTTGGGTCCAACTCAATGGCACATAACAACAACAACAACAACAGGAGTCTGACACATACAGTTTAGCCACTATGCAAGTTCCTGGTTTGGATTTTAATTTGTAATGGTCTATGAAAAGATCTAGTGGTGTAGTGGAAGTGGGTGATTCAAACTCACCAGCCACTTCACAGAAGGAAGATGAAGTAGTCTGCTTCTGTACATATTTATAGACTTGGAAATCCATTGGGGGTAGCTATGAGTCAGAATAGACTCAATGGCAGTCAGGTTTTTTTTGTTGTTGTTGTTTTAATGGTCTATAATCATACTTGCTACACCAGTGTTTAAAGGGATCACTCAACTGTTACAATACCCCTTTTCTTTCTCCAAATCCTTTCCCCAGAATATTTAGGTAAAAATGTGGCATCTCTCTTGCTAAGAAGAGATTCTACTCTCTTTTTAATTATAGAAATGTGGTCGGCTTTAGTTCTCTCCAAGGCCATCAGGAAGTTAAACAAATTAAATTGTATGTGCTGACCTAAATATATCATCTATCCTCTTACTTGGGATGATATTCAACATTTTAATAAATTCGTCTCAGTTAAACTTTCTTCTGAGTCAGCTGTTTAGTGTATAGAGAGCCATTCTCTGCCAAGTCCCATCTGTTGGTCTGGCAAGGGTACCTCCCAAAATTGGTGACTGTGTTCTTGGCACTCTTTTCTTGGCTTAATCTTTAAATGGTTGATTCTTTGGAGCTTGGATCAAATCAAAGGCCCAGGTAAGAGAAATCTTTCTAATATTTTTTGCCCAAAATGTCAAGTTCTCCTTCCTCTTTCTGTAATCAATCCAGTATTCTTGAATCCTGTTTCCGGGACTTCCCCTGACAGTGCTTTGCATCTCATTCCCTAGCCAGGGAATATGGCAAGGTGATTCTCCTGTTCACAGTCTTACAGGATCCTCCTTGTGTGAATGATGTATGTGTCTAAGGAATGATGAGACCCATACAGAGAAGTCAGGAATAAAATCCATTTTGTTTGGTCCCTTTAAGAACAAATCACAAGTTACAGACAGTCTTGAAAACCTGAAACATAGTTTTGACCTCTTTCCCTAACTGTACCACTAATAGAGTTCTCAAAAATATTGAGCATTGCCAAAAGAAAATAACAAAATGTATATTTCAAACAATACAGCTATTGCTTAAAATGACTTAAATATTCAGAAAGAACTAGAATCCAGGGAAAATGACATCAAAATTGGCATCCCTTTTTTAAAAAATTATGCTTTAATTTTTACTTTAGTCAGAGTCATAAAATATGTCTGAGAAGGATTTTTTTCTTACTTTTTTCTTTGTCATGAACAAATACTTAAGCCAGTAGTTTAATGCTACTCTGCATTCAGATAGAAAGGACTTATAAATTTTACTCTTTTTTTACTGTCTTCATATTTTTTTTTTTGTTGTTTTGATTTACTACTTGGAACAGTTTTAATATGTATTGACTGTCTGCAGAGATCTTTGCTGACCCAGCTTTTTAAGATGATGCAGTACTGAAGAAAGCTGATGAGTTCTTCTTTATGAGCTCTGACATATTAATTAGCAAAATGGACTAAAAAGCTTTTCTATTTCTGTTTTAATTTCTTATATTCTCAAACACCTGTCTATATAGCCGTAAAACAGGCAAGTCTGTAAAAGTAACGGTTGGCAGTAAGTCCAGACTTTTTCTGAGACAAGTTTATCAATTAATGAGCAAGTACTCATTAACCATCTGCGGGGATTTCTCTATACAAGATACCTTGCAGCCAAATACGGTTGATGTGCTATACATTTTACTGATGGAAAAAACTGAAGCTCAGCACATTTAAGTACTTGGTCTCTGTGCTGGTATTTAGTGAGGTTAGGATATGAACCTACATAGTGTGTGGTATAGCCCATGCTTTTGGCCACTTCATGTTATACCCACGTGAGCCTACCACCTCAAAGTCCCGTAAACTGACAGGAGGATTGGACATGACACCATCCTGATCTCTAGTTCTAGTTCTATATGGAAGTCATAACACACACATCAAGAAATTCACTCTGTATTTAACTTTGGTAGTCTCAACTAGCTGATCAAGGAGAATAAGTACAATTTCTCTAGCACACTACTGTAATGAGTAGTTTCAGATGGATAACTAATCTGATAATTTTTGCCTTTTGTTTCCCTATATACATATACATATATGTGTGTGTGTATTTATTATGTTTCTGTGTATGCAGACACACACATACCTGTCAACTTGACCCACATATTCAGTTATATACATAATTGAATATGTAGGCCAAGCTGATTGTTGTGAGAAGGTGTACATGTGATATACATGTGATGTGTATAAATTATAATTATCCTTATAGCAAAGGCACATACTTTTGGTATGCCAGTTGCTAAATCGGCAAACCTTACATTCTGTTCTAAATGCATTGTGTATAAACTACAAATCTAGAGTATCAAATTTGGCCTAAGACTTCCTGGAGCTTTGCAAAAGAATAACTCAATCCACCGCCATTGAGTTGATTCCAAGTGATAGTGGCCCTATAGGACAAAGTAGAACT